TGCAGGAAAGCATTTTAATATTTAACTGTACATATCAACAGAGATACTTTAAAGCTGCAATTTTAAAGAATGTTTTCTTTTCCTGAAAAACAAAGATGCTTCTATAAATTAACTTTTTCTGGTTGAAGCTGCAGAAAAGTCTAATTAATGGATGAAAGCAGCATATTTCTTTAATATGGCAGATTCTAATAAGATAAATTCCCATTGTATGTTTGAGCCTGAAAAAAGTGCAGGCAATGTTCACAATAATTTATTATTATCATTCATGCAAATCTTTTACAGTAATTGGGAAATTATTAAAGCTTGTTTGTTGGTAGAGTCACAGAGGTTTACATTTTTATCCCTCCTCAAGACTGAGGAATTTTATTTTTACTATAGAACAGCATAGTTTAAAGCTTTTGAAAAATTAGTGGATGATCCTCCCCCTCCAGCAAAACCTAGGTGAAAAACATATTAAAGTGTAGAATATTGATTAATTATTTCAGTCTGATAGTTGAGTAAGGGACCAAAATTTCTGTTACAATTGCAGGTGTTTCCTGTAGCTGAGTATGAAATTAAGTAAATTTTAATTAAGTTACAGTTGCTATTTGTTGAGCTTTTGCTGTTCCTAGTTACTTTCTCAGTTACTCTTACTGTTTTCCAGGAATTCTGGAACTAAGAAATGTTCTACTTAGAATTTGAAAACATAAAACCTTAGATTTAGTGAGTTTGTTTTTGTTTGAAAAGCAGTGAAATAGAGGTTTCTAATTGTTACTCTGTCTGCTATCTTGTAAACTTGTTTAATATAATTTAATTGCACTTCATAGAGCAAAAAACCACAAAGAGTAATTGCTGATAAATTCTTGCTACATTAAACAAACAAGCATTGCCCTCTGAAAGAGAGTGATTTCAATAACAAAACAAAAAAAGGAAAGCGTAAGTAACTAAATAATAAAAATTGGATTTTTTAAAATATAGAAATTATGTAATAGCTTTTTGCCATTCTCCTCTGTGCTTGAATTAAACATATCTGCTTTTTATTCTCACTGGCTTCTGTGAAAGTAGGAAGTTCCTTCTTTCCCATCATTTTCCTATTAATTTATTTTTCACTTTAAACATGCCAAAACTTGACCTTTCTCTCATTTTATTCCTTTCCTTTTCCAGCTGTTTCCTCAGAAGTATTCGGTCTTTAGTCCTTTTCTGCCTTTTTGTTATTTTCTCTACCCTCACCCTTCTTTTCTCAGGGCCCGAGTCCAGTGATGCTCAGCATTCAGAGGAAACCACGGCAGTATTTTCCTTAGGCTAGCAGGTCCCATCCTATTCTTAATGAGAAAGCATAGAAGAGATCCCTCTCTCAGTCACCAGTATCAGAGTCTGCAAACTGAAATCTGCAAACTAAAAAAATAATGCCTACTATTTTTTTTAATATTTTAAATGAAAAAAAATAGAGAGGAGCGGGAAGGAAACACTAGGCTAGTAAATGTGAAGTACAAGCAGGTAGTGCATCAGCACAATTCAAGCTTGGTTTTAGGAACTGAAATTCACTTGCCCTGTTATCTCAGAATGTGGGTCTCAGCTGCCAGACCTATCTTGTTGGGTTTTAATACCCAGTGTAGCTCTCCTTCTCTCTTCAGGGTCACGATAACCACTCCTGGGACAAGATGAAATAAGCAGCCTGTGAAGTTAAATGCAGTTTAAGGTAAATAGGCTGGTCCTACATGATGTAAAATGATATAGCTCCGCTAATCATCTTGAGTGCCATCGCACGGCACGTACAGGACAACCAAGGGATCGGGCCCAGTCAGCATGGGTTTATGAAAGGCAGGTCCTGCTTGACCAACCTGATCTTGGTTTATGACAAGGTGACCTTCTTAGTGGGTGAGGGAGAGGCTGTGGATGTTGTCTACCTGGACTTCAGTAAAGCCTTTGACAGTGTCTCCCACAGCGTTCTCGTGGAGAAACGGGCTGTTCACAGCTTGGAGGGGTGTACTCTTCACTGGGTAAAAAAATGGCTGTGTGGCCAGGCCCAAAGAGTTGTGGTGGAGTTAAATCCAGCTGGTCACGAGTGGTGTTCCCCAGGGCTCAGTGCTGGGGCCAGTTCTGTTTAATATCTTTATCAATCGATAAAGATTTATCAATATGAAGGGGGATCGATCTTGAAGGGGATCGAGTGCACGCTCAGTAAGGTAGTGAAATTGGCTTTTCCACAGCTCCGCAGGGGGCTGATTGCTGCCTTTCCCGTCAGACCTGGACTTCAGCAGCTTCTCCTCCAGCAGGCACGGGCTGCTCATTTGGGCCTGTATCTCACCTTCCTAAAAACATCTTGATCATGTCCCCCAAAAAGCTAAGACTTGCTGCCTCTCAAAGCAATACCTTCCTACTTCTTGTCCTGGCATGCATCCTTGGACACATTCCACACTTCTCCCATTGGAGAACCAATACTGAGCGTATACCGGCTGTGTGCTGTTGGCCAAGCAAGTCGTAAGTAAGGAGTATATAATACCTGGATTTCTTTGAGGTTCTGCAGCATACCTCCAGAAGCAGATACATGATTACCCATTTAAAGATTTAATGCTGCTCTTTTAGTTTGATAAGCCAGATGATTGATCATACTGCTGTCTTGAATATTGCCTTGCTTTTCTTTTTCTTCACTTGCATTTTCCTGCGTAAAAACTTTTGCTTCTCTCCAGCTGGGTTTCTTCAGTAGATCCTTATGATACAGGCAATCTCCTCTCTGATGGCTGGCGTTTGCTTTATGTCGACCGTAGTAAATTAAAGTACAGTTTTCTCAATGCTGAGAAAACTACACCCCTGTTGATATGCATGCTTTTTCTTGACATGTTGACACTTGTAGTTGTGTGTAGAGTCTGGCTTGAGCCACTCTCTAGCAGTTACAGGTGACAGGAGTAACATCCATTTTCTCACTTCATTGTAATAGGTAACTTTTTTTTGCAAGGCATTTTTTCTTCCTAACCTGCAATTTTCTCCCTGCCAAGGAGCAGCAGAGTTGGCCTTTTAGTGCAGAATTACTTATAGTGCTGATATCAGTTGTGGTTTTTGCTTTTCTCATCAGGTTCCCTTGGAGTTCTAAACCTCTCATATTTAGGATTAATTATTTAAACCTTAAGACTTTCCTTACATAATGTGATTCTGTTGGTCAGAAGTCTCTGGCTGCTGAAATGCATAAAAATAACAAGAAAAAAAAAAAAGATCCCTCCATAAAATGTCTCTCTGCTTGTGCTGCTGGGAGCAGGCGTTGAAATTGGGTGTGGTAAATGCCTGTGCCATCTTGGAGAGTCATTTTTCATTTGAACTACTTATTGGTAGATAATTGACAATAAGGAAGGAGAGTGTATGCCTCGATGATGAAATGTGTTTTAAATGTGATGTAATCTGCACAACACCTTTCAAGGGAGAAGCGTGCTGGATCCTTGAAGCTGTACCGCTCCAGAGCGCCTCATTCAGGACTCGGTGCTGGCTGCCGTCACCACAGCGGTGCTGGACTCGCACATCGGTCAGGAAAAGGCAGAAATCGCCACCTTTACGGTGTCCCTGTGCGGACAGTGCCTCTGCTGGCACCTGCTAGGTCTGTCTGTAGCTTGTTGTCCCCTTTTCCTGCTGGAGCCTTCTTTGTCTTGGAACACGCCACAACTTTTTGTCCCATTCAGCAACGTTGACCACAGATGTGCGTAAGATAAACCACCCAAAATCTCGTAACCCAGAGATGCCCAGTGGTTTTTCATGCTGCCTATCCTCTGAATGGCTGCTGCCACCCCCTGAGACTGTGCCAGCAAGTTCATCTGCCAGTCCTTCCACTAACGGGCCTGTGGGGAAGAGGGACCTCTTGCCTGCAGAAGGAGAGAGGCTGATGCAAGGCCATAGTGTGGCTCATGTTGCACCCCAAAACAGCATTGAGAAACTGCCTTCCTCCTCCTTTGTCTTTGCCTTCTACGTAGTGTAAACTGTGTTGATTTAGCAGAATGATAAATCTGGCTTCAGGGCTGTGGTGGCTTCTACTGGACATTGAGACCTGTGCTGGATCCTGCTCACTCAGCAGCAGGGTCTCTCCCTTCTTGGTGACACAGTGTATCCCCAACCCCACGTGGGTACCCAGCATGGAGAGGAGATGCTAATTCCCTAGAGGGGAGGACAATGGTGTAATGCATATATATGTTTCAGTTCCTGCCTGAGAGAGCTCTCTCCTTTTTTCCCCAGTCATGAGTCTCTTTGTGATTTCCCTCTTAGAAACCTCAAGTTGCTCATGCTTCCACTCCCTGGTTTCCAAACCCTCCATCCCTTCTATTGGACCTTCTCTGGGCCTTGAGTGTGGCCAAGGCCGCTGTCCTCACCCATGCCCCTTTCTGGCTGCACCCAAAAGTGTTCTCTTCACTTCCCAGCATGAACGGATGCTGTCGGTCTGGTGGATCTATTTGCTCTTCCTTCCCATTGCTTTCTGGAATGAACTAACTATTTCTGCTCATGAATATTTTGTACATGCTTAGGGCTCTTCCCAGGCTTCAGGAAGAAACCAGCACCTGGATTATCTCAGTGCTTGAAGCAATCTGCAAAAGAACAATCTGTTTCTTGTCCTCTGAATGAGGAACAGCCACTCTTCTCAAAAGAAGCTTCCCAGAGCGTCCTTGCACATAATAAAAAATGAGCTCTCCTTTGGAAGGCAGGTCTAGATGGTTGAGGAAAGATGTGGTCACAATCCTACATAATCCTTTCCAGCTCTTTTGAAGGAAGATCTTTGTCTTTACTTTTTCTCTCTCCTGCTGTTACTGTGCCTACCGCTCAGTGTCTCATCTGGGCTTGGCGTTGCTCTGCAACTTTTCCCTCTGAATCTTCCTACTCTCACATACCAGCTGCCTACCCTCCTATCCAAGCAGCTTTTCACACCGTATAATGTTTTGCTGTTCTCCTCTCCCAGCGATGCAGCAGGGTGGCTTGCCAAGCCGGGACACACCTCTGTCTGACAGGGAATGTGGGATATCCCGGAGGGGGCTGGGGCAGGTTGCGCCATGGCGTGCTTCAGGGAGCAGAGCAAAGGGGGTACCTGGGAAGAAGCGGCCGGTACGGAGCTGGGGGAATCTTCAGTTGTTTGGGGAGATGAAGGAGGAGGGCAGACGGCACAGCAAGCAGGAGAAGCAGGACAGCCTGGTAACTAGCGGCCAGTGCAGCATCAGCCTTTCGTCATGGAGGCTGCCAGCCTACCCTCCTCTAGCTGTGGTCAGTTCTGGGTGCCTATGTCCTGCCACCTCTGCGCCGTCACTGCTAGTTGCCTTCCCCGTGGTTTTCCTTGGAAGAGCAGCCTCTTCCTCACAGGACACAGTCTGCAGTTCCCCATCTCTCCCTTCCTTATTTCTCCCAGTGTCAGCAGTTCTCCAGCTGGCTGGGGAAGGCAGGGGAGGGCATAGGGGATGTATCCCAGGAGAGCCCAGAGGAAAAAGTGTTGAAGAACAACTGCTGTAGCTCACTCCTTTTCATTAGTAAGAGTGGTGTGATGGTGAGCTGCTCGTGACTTGGTGGCATGTGTGTCTGGGGCCTCTGCCAGAACATCCATTCGGTGTGAGCTTTGCTTGGTAGAGGGATACAAATAGCAGAGGGACTCACAGAAACCAGGCACCGTCAGCTGTAGTTGCTGCTTTGCTTTTTATTTTTATTATATTGTTAGGCTTTTAAAGTGACTTCAGGTACTTTTTGTCTGTGGTAAATCAGAGCTTTCTAAAGCCAGCATTAGTAAAGAAATCTTAGGTACAGTTATTGAGGTTAGAGAGACTACAGCAGGTGGCTTGAGTGTTCAGAGCATCCTCCCTATTTCTGTTATTCTCTTCTCCCTGAGGTTTTTTTGCTCATTTTAATAGAATCTGTGTATCAAGGCCAAAATACTGAATATCTCTCTTTTTCCTCTCTGAACGGGGGTTTGCTTTTACCAAAGTATGAGAGGAACCATGGGCCCCTTCGGGCACTTTGATGCCTGTGGAAGGTGAGGAAGGCTGATCAGTCCTTTGTTTAGAAAATTTACTGGCATTTGATAAGGAACCTGAGCTCCACTTTTGAACTTGTGTGTGTCAAACGGTAAAATCAGTGTTGGGGATGTCTTATTTTTTTATGTTCTTTTTAACAAGAAAGGGAGAAACTGATTCCTCCCATATTTCTTTTATTCAAGATAATAATAAAAAAGAGCTCTCTGAGTATAGCTAGGGCGTATTTGTTCACCAGCCCTGTACGAAGTGGTATTTTCTGTGCTGCATAAAACCACACAGCTCTCAGGTACTTCCCTCAAAGTTACAAGAAAAGCAACATGCACACCAAAAACAACCCAACAAACCTAAACCAAACAACTCTTCAAACCAAACTGCAGCCAGAGTGGGACTCCCTAGCAACATGACCACCTATTCTGAAATTTTCTAACCCCAAATTATTACTTTATTTTCCTTCCAGCATGCCTAAATTAAAATGAGGACAAGTTGCCAGGCTGATTTATTAGTGAGCAATAGCGAAACTGGCCAGAACTACCCTGTCCTTCTTCCTTCAGTCCTCTTGACCTTAAGGGCCGATTTTGTGTTGAAGCGCAATGGAGATTAGAGTACTTCAGATTTGTGACCCCTGGTGCCTCGTTTCTGCTAAAATGTTCCTATAATGAATAAAACTATATGTTGTACTTCTGCTATGGCATGTTGTACATTTTGTGCATATATGGCCTATTCTTTCGTATGACTATGGTGCACATCAGTGGGTATCTCAGGATGATTTGTATTAGAAGGCATGTATGTGTGTGTGTGTGAGAACGACCTCAGTTTCCTGGTAGCAAAGCTATTTTGCCATTTCAGCTCTTTGTGAACATAGAGCCAGGAATGTTAGTGTCTTTTTCTAATGACTTGTTTTTAGATGTTTGAAATGGAAATAATTTCTTAGCAGCTTTATGAACATAGACCAAACTGATTGTGAATTGGTATCTGTGGCATAGAAACTGCGTAAGTAAATTGGATGTAACTTCAAGGATTAATGGGTATGTCCTCATTACTCGGGACAATTAGTGAAAAGCCAGCAAGGGATACAGCTGCATTTGAGCTGCATTTGGCTTGTTTGGCTGATTTTATTGCTCTAAACTTTGTCCATATGCTGAGCAGAATTCAAGGGGCTTCCTTGTTTGATACTCTGGCCCTTACTCAATGAAGTTCTTAATCACAAGCCTAACTTCAAACATATGGATAGTCCCACTTATCATGGGTGTTGACAAAGCCATTGCCATCTCCAAGAGTCTGTTTGCTGACTTCTGCAAATACAGCCTGTTGTATTTTCTGCTAGCATAAGAAGTGATATCTGACCATTCATCCTGGATTATCTTCCTCTTCCTGCTTTTTCACCCCCAAAACACATTAGGCTCTTTCAGACTAGAAGGATTTCATTCCTCTTAACAGAGTGGATGAGGCATGGAAAAAGAAGTGTTTATGAAAAAGGCCAAGAGAACAAAATTCTACAGAGCACGGAAGTTTCAAAACACATTCGTTTGCAGCGAGGGGCAAGTGGCTTCTAGAGTGGCAGAATGATATCCCTAATGAAAAGACTTACTACTTTCATATACTCAGTCACAGGATCACAGAATGGTTGAGGCGAACAGGGACCCCTGGACATCACCTAGTCCAACCCGCCTGCTGAGAGCAGAGTCAGCCAGGGCAGGTTGCTCAGGTCTGTGACCCATCAGATTTTGAGTATCTCCAAGGAGGAGACTCCACAACCTCTCTGGGCAACCTGCTCCTGTGTTTGATCACTCTCTCAGTAGAAAATTTTTCTTGTGTTTGAGTATCCTGTAGTTGAATTTGCGCCCATTGCCTGTTATCCTGTCACTGGGCACCACTGAGAAGAGCCTGGCTCCATCTTTTTTACCTCCCCCCATCAGGTATTTACACACATGGATAGGACCCCCCTGAGGTTCTCTTCTCCAGGCTGAACACTCCCAGCTCCCTCAGCCTCTCCTCGTATGTCAGATACTCCAGGCCCTTTCATCATCTTCATGGCCCTTTGGTGGACTCAGTCCAGCATGGCTATGTCTCTCTTTTTCTGGGGAGAGAGCAGTTGACCCAGTCCTCCAGCTGTGTCTCACCAGGGCTGGGTGGAGGGAAAGGATCACCTCCCTTGACCTGCTGGCAATGCTTTGCCTAATGCGGCCCTGGAGGTTAAATAGTCTTGGCCCCAGTATCTTCACCTGGGGTACACTGCTAGTGACTTGCATCTAGCTGGACTTTCTGCTGTGAACTGAAACCCTTGAAGCCCAACAGCTTGTTCCGTTTTCAGTCTACCTCACCGTCCGCTTAACTAGACCGAACCACATCGCTTGTCTGCTAGGATGTTCCAGCAGGCAGTGTCAAAGGTGTTACTGAGGTCAAGATAAACAACATCCACTGCTCTCCCCTCGTCACCAAGCAGTCATCTCATCACAGAAGGCTATCAGGTCACCATGAAAGGATTGAGGATAAAAGCAGCAGCTAATACACTGTTGCATTACTTACAAATTCATTACATTACAATACATTACAAATTCAGCCAGTGAGTTTGCTAGCTAGCTGTTCAAATCTCAATACACTGTGAAACTGAGATGCAATTTTAAGCCTTTTAAGGCTAATTTTAAGCTGGCTACTTCTAAGCTGGCAAAATGTATTTTAATTTAACAAATAATTAGTAAAACTTTTCAAGCTGTTTTTTTAATTCTAGTTGCAAAAAAAAGGACTTAAAATCAGTGCAAAAAAATATTCTTGAACTTTGGATCAAGCAAGTTAGCAATAATAATTTATGATCTCTTTAGGCATTACAGGGAAGAAGGCCACATAACGCTGCAATATTATGGCTTTTCAGATGTGACTCAGTTTTTTCATACTGTAAGCTAGATCAGAGTGAAATCTGGAGTTTGTGATTTTGTGTACTGGTTTGCTCTTCTGGTTGGGGTCTTTTTTTTTTTTCTCTTCATGTAGTTTAACTTTCGAACTTCTGTGCTAGTTAATAATTAATAAGTGTTCAATACTATACCAGATTTACAGGGAGTAACTTCAGCTCACTGCCTGCATAAGTAATGCTTTTTCTTTTTTTTTTTAAGTTTTCATGTTGTTGCAACTCTGTGGCCACTGTTGAGTCATGCGAGCAACTAGGCCAAGCAGGGATGTCTTGCCTATTTCTGTCTTTTTGAGGCTATTTCTAACATTCGTCTCTAATTAAGAGAATGAAGAAATGAGGGAAAACAAGATATTTTATTTTACATGACCTCCAATTACTTAAGGAGAGAGTTAAAGTTAGCAGTTTGAGTTCTTTTGTTAAAATGAAGCCAGGGCGTTGGGTCATTTGTAATGTGTAAGTACCTCCACCAGGAGAAAATACTTGATGCTAAAGCAGGAGGTTACTAAAAGGTCACTTTAACAGGAGCAGAAGGCATAACAGGAATCAGTGGCTGGAAGCTGAGGACAGAAAATTTCAGATTAGATGCAGCGTTCATATTTTTAATAAGAAAGGTGGCTAACCTTTGGAGGAAATTGCTGACTGACAAATTAAATATTTCTTTTTAGTAAAGACTAAAAGATTTTCTCAAAGATGTGCTGTAGCCAAACATAAATTTGTCCTGTATTCAAACACAGCTGAACCTGGTGCAAGAGCAACAATTTGCAATAAAATGGCTTGTGGTAATGCAAAAGGTTAGACGAGACCAGGGGGGTTCAGCATCTAACTTTAGATGACACGTGGCCCCTCATCCAGCCTGCCACTCCCTGTTGCTCTTGCACTCATCCATCATGAGATGAGGAGGAGAATGGTAAGGAAGAAAACAGAAGATAAGAATCCTGTAAGCATCAAAACTTCTGGTGAAGTCAGTCAGACTTTTCTGGAAAAGTAGATGCAAGGCAAGGATGCACAAGGAGCAGAAGTACTGTAGCTCAACATGTCCATTTATAAAATGGAGAAAACATGGCTAATTCACAAAGGCATAGCTGTGTGGATAGGCTACCCTCTGATCCTTGGATGGAAGGTACAACAAATACAACATGTTGTTTTTTTCTTGCAATCCTGGGTGTGTGTAAGGCCTTGAAGATGAATCAGCTATGAATTAATAATGTGTGGAGCAATTAAGAAACCCATATAATTTAGTGAAATTATCTTCTTGTGACAGCAGAAAG